TCAATGTACCCAATTCTTGGCAGGTCCTACTCTAGCAACCTAATGCCTGCTCTTATGAGATTAATCTACTTAATATCTGTAAATATCTCTAAACAATTTCATACAATTTAATTATTTATAGTATTTAATTGTACAAACTTTTAAATTTGGTTTTATAACTAGCAAGGTAAAGTATAATATAAACCTCCAATAGGCAATTAATCTGTCTGTCTGTCTGTCTGAGCCTCCTGGATCATCGCTGTTGGGTAGGCAAAGCATCTGCTTTCACTTTTCAGGCTGCATGCCATTGTGTAAAACAATTCTTCCCTGCCAGCAGAAAGATGATTGCAACCAATACAAAAACTCATTTAACAAACCATCAAATGAAGAGAGCTAGTTGCTAATCAGTTTTTCCAAACTGTATCTCAAATGATATAAAAATGTTATTAAAATATGTAAGCCAGAAAAGACAAGTCAGCCACAATTATACACCAATCAGTCACAATTAGATAAGCTTATCCCAAAATAGCCTGCAGACTGCAGTACAATACAATACCAAGCAATATGGCAACATTTCATTTTTAAGACAAGATTACTCCATTTCTATGATTGAAAACTGGAGTGGATACCCAAGAGCACAATTCTATGTTTTACTTACATACATAAATAGCTAATAGTCCAGCATAGACGGTCAGTTACACTTTATACAAAGTCAGTTGAAAGAAAGGGGCTTATGGTAGTGGTCAGGGCCGGACTGGGAAAAAAAACTCAGCTCAGGCATTTTTTAATCACAGGGACCCACTGAGAATGGGACAGGCCAGTTAGGGTCTGTTTTGTAATCAATAATGCCAAGCACGCCCCCTCTCAAAGTGAGCATGTTGGTTTGATGCTCTTCCAGGGCAGACCATGCGCAGAGCTCTGCTGAAGAGCTCTAGCATGAGAAAAAAGGTCCTGTATATGTTCTGCACAGCACAAGCAAATGTTTGTGCTGTGTTTGCTTGAAACTTGTCCCTGGTGTCTCCATAAATGGGATACCAGGAGACAAAAATGCCAGGAAAGTGTATTGTGCATGTGTTTGGAGTCTGCTTGTGTGATTGCGTGTGTGTAGAGTGAGCTGATTGTGGTGTGGTATTGTGTTAATAGTTTGGTTTCAGTCGTGTTGTGTTTGTGGTGTAATGTGATGTATGTGTGTCTAGGAGATGTAGCGAGTATGTACATATGGGCTGTAGTGTGTGTGTGTATAGGTGATGTAGTATGTGTAGGGGTTGTAGAGAGTGTGTTTGTAGGGAATGTGGTTTGTGTTTGCTTATAAGGAATTTAGTGTATGCATAGTGGATTCAGAGTGTGTATGTCAGAAATGTAGTTTGTGTAGGTGGTGCAGTGTGTGTGTGTGTGTGTGTGTGTGTGTGTAGGGGATCTAGTGTGTTTGAAGGACCCAGAGTTTGTATAGGAGATCTGGTGAGTGTGTGTAGATGATTCAGAGTGTATATAGGGATCTAGTGTGTGTATATGTGTAGATGATCCAGAGTTAGGTAAGTGATCTGGTGTATGTCTGGAATGTAATGTGTTTAGGGGTGCACTATGTGAGTGAGGGGTTCTGTAGTAAAAATACATATGTTTGGAAGCATCGTATGTGTGTGAGTGGTGCAGTGTGTATGTGTGCAGTATGTGTGTGTGAGGGGTGCACCGTGTGTGTGAGGGGTGCACCGTGTGTGAGAGGGAAGGGTGCTGTGTATGAGTGTGAGGGGTGCAGTGTGTGTGTGTGTGTGTGTGGATACTTTGTGTGAGTGAGAGGTGCAGTGTGTGAGGGTGCTGAGTGTGAGTGAGGGTTCTCTGTGTGAGGGTGCAGTGTGTGTGAGAGGATGCTATTTGTGTGTGTGAGAGGATGCTGTGTGTTTGTGAAAGAGTGCTGTGTGTGAGAGAGTACTGTGTGTATGGGTGTGTGAGAGAGGATGCTGTGTGTGTGTGAGAGAGAGTGCTGTGTGTGTGGGAGAGGATGCTGTGTGTGTGTGTGAGAGAGAGAGTGCTGTGTGTGTCTGATGTGTGTGTGTGAAAGAGAGAGTGCTGTGTGAGAGAGAGAATGCTGTGTGTGTGAGGGTGTTGTATGTGTGTCTGTGTGTGTGTTTGTGTATGTGAGAGAGATAGAGAGTGTTGTGTTTGTGTGTGAGGATGCTGTGTGTGTGTGTGTGTGTGTGAGTGCTGTGTGTTTGAGTGAGGGTGCTGTGTGTGTGTATGTGTGTGGATGCCCTGTGTGTGTGAGAGAGGATGTTGTGTGTGCGTGCGCTGTGTGTTTGAGTGAGGGTGCTGTGTATGTGTGTACGGTGATGTTGTGTGTGTGTGTGGGGGGGAGAATGCTGTGTGTGTGAGAGAGATAGTGTGTGCTGTGTGTTTGAGTAAGGATGTTGTGTGTATGTGTGTGTGTGTGTGTGTGTGTGTGAGAGAGAGAGTGCTGTGTGTTTTTATGAGTGTGTGTGTGTGGATGCTGTGTGTGTGAGAGAGAATGCTGTGTGTGTGAGAGAGAGTGATGTGTGTGTTTGTGTGTGTTGTGTGTTTGAGGTGTCTTGTGTGTGTGAGAGAGAGAGGATGGTGTGTGTTTGTGTGCACTGTGTTTGAGTGAGGGTACTCTGTGTATGTGTGTGAGAGATAGAGTGCTGTGTGTTTGAGTAAGGATGGTGTGTGTGTGTGTGCAGTGGCGTACATACCAGGGGGCCCAGCCGCCCTGCGACCCGGTATTTACCCAGTGGCTGGCCCTGGTGTCACCCGTTGGACGAGCTGACAGGCGCATACTGATGCCGGAGCCGGAATATGACGTCAGTACATTAGTACGCGGCGCGCGAGGGAGCTGAAGAGGGAGCACTCAGGGGAGAGTGCTCCCTCGCGCGCCCGCCAGCCTGCCCGCTGACCGGCTGCCTAGCAACACCACTGGACCCCAGGGAATCCCCTCAGCACTCCCAAAGGTAGGGAGGCTGGGGGATTAAAACATTTTTTCAAGTGTGTGTGTGTGTTAGTGTGTGTGTGTGTTAGAGTGTGTGTGTGTTAGTGTTAGTGTGTGAGTGTGTGTGTGTTAGTGTTAGAGTGTGTGTTAGTGTTAGAGTGTGTGTGTTAGTGTTAGAGTGTGTGTGTGTTAGTGTTAGAGTGTGTGTGTTAGTGTTAGAGTGTGTGTGTGTGTGTGTGTGTTAGTGTTAGTTTTTGTGTTAGAGTGTTTGTGTTAGTTTGTGTGTGTCACTGAGTGTGTTACTGTGTGTGTGTTACTGAGTATGTTAGTTTGTGTGCATCTGTTAGTGAGTCTGTTTGGTGTCTGTTAGTGAGTGTGTGTTTTGTGAGTGTGTATGTGTCTGTCTGTCAGTGAGTGTGTATGTATGTCTGTCACTGAGTGTGTGTCTGTCAGTAAATGTGTGTGTCTGTTAGATAGTGTGTATGTGTCTGTTCATGAGAGTGTGTGTCTTCAGCACTTACCTTTCTCCAGCGTCAGACTCCCTTGGCGCCGGGGATCCCTCCGCCCCGATCCACCTCCCAGCTCTGAATGCGCATGCGCGGCAAGAGCTGCGCACGCATTCAAACCGCCCATAGGAAAGCATTACTCAATGCTTTCTTATGGGCGTTCAGCATCTTCTCACTGTGATTTTCACAGTGAGAATCGCGGAAGCTCCTCTAGCGGCTGTCAATGAGACAGCCACTAGAGGCTGGATTAACCCTCAGTGAAACATGTTTTCAGCTACAGGGTTAAAACTAGAGGGACCCAGCACCAAGACCACTTAATTGAGCTGATGTGATCTGGGTGTCTGTAGTGGTCCTTTAAGTGTATGTGTATCTGCAGGCACTGGCGTACATATCGCGGTCGCAGGGGTCGCAGCCGTGCGACCCCTGCAACCAGGTGCCGCCGCCATGTGCAGAGTAAGCGTGGGGGGGGAGGCCCACGGATCAGTTTTCGCACCGCTCCATGGGTTGTGTGTACGCCACTGTGTGTGTTGTGTGTTTGTGTGTGAGAGAGAGTGCTGTTGTGTTTATGAGTGTGTGTGAGAGTGCTGTGTGTGTGTGTGTGAATATGTTTCAGTTGTCAATATGTATGTATTTATTTATTTTTACATTTTTTTAAAAAAAAGCAAGCATTGTATCCCCCCTCCCTTCTTGCCTAATGCCTGGGATGTGGGAGGGATGGGGGTGGCGGCTTGCTGCAATCCCTGGTGGTCCTAGTGGTGAGTGGGGCTAGAGTTCACTATGGCGAGATCAGGGGCATTCCCAATGGCCAGTCCTGGTAGTGGTTAACTAAAATGTCACTGTCACCCCCCACCCCCTCCCACTTTAAAAAAAAAAAGAGTATTTCATAAAGACAGAATCTTTATGAAATACTTATATTGAATGTGTAGAATTTCACCAAAATTCCAACACAGTCAACTGATATACTGAGACAAAGTAGAAACTACTTTGTCTCAGTATATTCCTTCCACCTGACAATTCTAAACACTGGGTGGACCTCCAGCCGTCTACTATTGTCCCATGATCCTGCATAGACCTCAATGCTGTACTCTCGCACATGTGCAAAGATACAGCAGTAAGGCTGGCTCCTGGCATTGAAGCGTCAGAAGCTGAAGAGGACCCAACAGAATAAGATGGTTAAACCTGCGAGGCGCAGGTTGATGCAAGTAAAACTCATCTTTATCTCCCCACCCCCCAAAACCTCCGGTAGCGATGTCACTGTTGGGGGTCTTTGCAAATTCTGATTTCTGATTCTGGTCTTTAAAGAACATTTTGAAAGTCAAGATAAGAATACTTAAAAGAAACTCTCTATACTGGTCAGTTGGCATGGACAGAATTATAAGAATACAAATTCTTACAAGGTACACAGCTAATAACTCTACCCTTTAGTCACCAGTGCTTTAAGTTTGTCTCCAAACCCTAAAGCAACTGTTGGGAAATTATCAGAAATCAAATCAATCTAATGTCAAATATTGATTGAACATTAAAAAAAAAAACTGTGAAAAATGAATACTTGTGAAGTAAAAATAAATCTTTGTAAAACACTCAACAGTAATAATCAGTTATTTTGGGAGCAGATTAATCACTCTCAAAAACCGTTAGTTCTATAGATTTCTATTCATATCTAGAGACTATGACGATCTCTTCTGAAATACAGTGGCGTGAAGTAGTTCGTAACGGAAGAGACAGATCAGAAAGTATTAAGAATAACTTCTCTTAAATTAAATTGGCTTTTCCCCTGGATCATAAATTTTACCTGCTGTATCAGATTAAAGGAGCTGCACTGTTCTGCCAACTCTTTCAACCATCCTCAGATCCTTCTGGGAGACTTATTTGGTAGGTAAATCACACCAGTACATCTTCATGATTTATCCATAGTACGTTAATATTAATCCCAGTTTGCATTATCTGGATGTGACATGGATGAAATGAATAGATTTTACATATATAATCCTAAAGCTGGCATTTTGTGAAACAGAGCAGTAATAGTCTGTGGATACATTTTGCAGTTAAAGGGACACGCATCACTTTGAGACAGCTGTCGTATTCAGAAGATTTATCTTTGAATTAGACAGCTTCCAGACTCTTCTTGTTGAAAAAAAAACACAGGTGAGTATGGTTTGTTTTTCATATTTACCTGTTTGTTTGTTTTTTTATGCCTAGAAATGTACTTTACCTAGGAGTGCTGGAAATGTGCATTGGACATGCCTGAGTCACACGTGTGAGTTAAAAGATCACTTCACCTTGCAACATCCTGGTAGCGGCGGAAGAGAAGAGAGGGAGTCTGGTCAGTTTTATTTATGCAGAGCAGGCTCTGGTGTTGAGTTTCTCTCTCCCTGTTGTGTTAGTCAGTGCAGGGATAATTAGGTGTTTGCTGTTGCTACACAATGATCTCTTGTCTCTGTCATTAGTGTACTGGTCTGGACTGGATTAATGGGTGATGTTGAGGCAGAAGAAACTCCACTAGCTGAGAGGCGTGCCCAACAATACATTTTGACCATGTTTATAGTACATTTATAAATGTTTATTACATGCATTTCAAAGTTTTTTTTGCATTATTTATTTTTTTTTTTTTTTTTATTCTTTATTTTTCTTGTGCAAGGATTAACAACAAGCGTGCAGGGCCACAACAGCCTCCACAGGCATTTTCATAACTTTACAAAGTGTGGCAGTGTAGACAGCACATTTTTTGTATAACACGAAGATAACAGGTTATTAGATTTTCATAACTTTACAAAGTGTGGCAGTGTAGACAGCACATTTTTTGTATAACACGAAGATAACAGGCTATTAGACATCAGTATTTTATAAAATAACATGTTAGGCTAGATAACCATGTGACAAAGCTAGTTGCTCTTAAGATTGTGAGTGTGTAACGGTGCATTGGTAATAATGGGAGCATTTTGCTTAAGGCACTGGCTGCACGTTTTTAAATGTAAAAATAAATCAACATTTTCACTTCTAGTTTTAAACAAGCTTGGGTTGCCAGGTAGGGCTAGTAAGTAAAATAGTGTGTGAGCAGTTAAGGTAAACACATATGAGAGACAACGGCAAAAACTCTGCAAGGGATGGATTACTGATAGAATAAAGACGTTTACTTTACGTTTAGCTAGTATGCAAAGAGCAGTTCTTGTGTTAAGGGACATGGTGTGGAAGTCCAGCTATAACAAGATATGCCTGGCAGGCTCCAGTCTCCAGCCTGTGATCATCCGATCCCTTCTGGGCGCCAAGCGCAGTTCCCGAGAGCCCTTGTCGCCTGGAGCGACAAAGGCAGATATGTGGCTAAGTGCCAGGCATCCGGCCTGTAGTGGTGGAGGTTTGCTTTGTCAGGTAGGACTTTTTGCGGGTGAGATGGGTGGTGAGGGGGCAGCCCTGGAGATTGTCTCCATTGAGGCTTTGGGCAACTCACCAGTGGTCTAAGAGTCGGGCGCTGGGGCTTTCGGCATTTCTTCTGCCTCTCCCTCCCTGCTATCTCGATCTTTCTCGGGTTCCGCACCGGGGCTGCAGGCCGCTGTGTTATGTCCTTTGTGGCTGATGCCGGTGGGACTTGTGCCTGGGCGTCTCTGCGGCTGATGATTTTGGCCCAAAAATTGCTGAATAGGCGGTCTAGCCGCTCCGACAGTGGAGGCAAGCTGGGCTTGGATGCTGGGAGCCACGTGGTCTCTGCCATGCTGTGTATCGGCGGTCCGGCGGTGCAAGATGGCTGAGCTCTGTTTCGCCGTTCTGATCCCCATGTTCTAGATGCCGGGATATCCCTCACCGGCGGGGGGGGGGAGAGAGTGTTCCGGGGAGACATCCTTTATTATAGGCTGCAGTCGGCTGAGGGATCGGCCGTCTCCCCCATGCTTCCTGAGTAGGCCGCAGGTAGGCCTCAGGTCCATCCCCTGGAATCGGTCGCATTTTGTGGTCCCGGGCTTGATTATGTTTTGTCTCGATATTAGACCCCAGTGGCTGGGGTGTAGAAAGCATTGAATTTGCAGGTTTTGCAGCGAATTTGCTTGGTTTTCAGGCTGTTTAGACAGGAGCTCTGCTAAGGTGCGACCACTCAGCTTGGCTGTCAAGCTCCGCCCCCTTTTTTGCATTATTTTGGTTTGTATATAAGTTTTAAAGTATCTGCTTGCTGGTTTAAAAGAAAATTGTCAAGTGATGCATGTTACTACAACTTCACAGCCCCCATGACTTATAATGGTCTATAAGCATTTACTGTGAAGGACAGTAACCTAAATTGAAAACCCACTATATACAGTTTCTTTTTATATACATACATACATATACATACATACATACACTATATATAGACTTGTACTGTAAGTCACTATAGAACACTATAGCACACTAAGGCATTAGATATTTACATTTGTATTCTAACGCTATAGTGTTCCTTCAAGTTTCATTTATTCAGTCATTTGTTCATCTATGTGAGATTGCATGTTTCCTGTCTGTATGACTAAGACACTCCAGACCTTCATCTTTCTGGTAACGTCAAGCTTGGAATGGCTATGTATACAGTTAATTTTAGAAATCAAGCCATGTAGTAATTTTATATGGAGCTGGCATTGCTGATTTGCATTACAGTTATTTCTTTGTATTGATAGAATCAGTGGTAACACAAACCATGGTTTGTAAATAATTTCAACACAGTAATTAAGCTATGTCGGATAACGTTCTAAATAAAAGTCTGCCTAACAATACGACTCAAGAGAGTGATTAAAACGCCTCTTTATAAAGAGCGGCTAACAGCTAATACTATGATAATCTTTATCAATAATTAGAACATAATGTGTGCAGAAATCAAATATGTGTCTTAAGGTCACTGTGATACATATACAGTTAACAATAGTTTTAATATGAGCTAATATTTGTAACAGTATATCCACAACACTAGTCAATAACTCTAGCGTGAGTAAATGTGGTAACTAAAACCAACTTGAAAAATTCAGACTAAATTAGAAATGTTGTAACATTGTCTCAATTTCTGTATATTTTATTCAGCTTTGTTGGTAAGATTACACAAACACCTCAGTGTAAGAAAAACACACATTCATTTCTAACATTGGAGTGTTCCTATTCTTTCTTAATAAATGTTACTTACTGTAATGCAGAACCGAGACCCCCTTCACACAGCAGCTCTGCAATGTCCCGAAAGATCACTACAAGGGTTTTTAAAGTACCAAATCACTTTTTAAAAAAAAACAACAACAAAAAAAACAGGAGATACAACTGAAGAGATTTAAATGTTTTGAGTACTTCTTCAAAAGAGAATTATAAAAATTGTTGGTGAGAATTTTTATTTTATTTTTAAATTACATTCAATTAAAATATTGTTGTGCTGTTTTTGATTCTAGAGGTTTTTATACATCTAAGCTGGTTGATGTTGCTTTTTGTGGCATACGTTCTATTTGTATTGCTTTTAGTAGTTTGCATTCATTCAGAGGAAAATGCACACAATCACACACATACTGCACCTCTCACACACTGCTCCCTTCACACACTGCACCTCTCATACACTGTGCTACTTACACAAACACTGCACCACTCATACACACCTCACACCTCACACACAGCACCCCTCACACACATTGCTCCCTTTACACACTGCACCCCTCATACACTGCACTCCTCACACACACATTGCACCACTCATACACACTGCACACCTCACATGCACTGAATCCCTACACAGTGCACCCCTCACACACTGCACCATCTACACACACACTAGATCCCCTAATGACACACACTACACTACCTACACATACACTACATTCCTGACATTACATCTTCTAGACACACTCTGGATCCCTTATGCACAAACTAGATCCCCTGTATGCAAACACACTCACTAAATTCCCTAAGCACAATCACTCTACAGCCCATACACACACTAAGTAACCTATACACACACATAGGCGTGTGCAGCCTATTGCATTAGGGTGTGCACCCTAAACCACAAACACACGTCGCGTGTGTGTGTATGTATCTATATATATACACACACACACATACACTGCTGTGTGTGCTGTTAGTGTGATGTGTGTGTGAGGGTGCTGTTAGTGTGATGTGAGGATGTTTGTGTGTGTGTGTGTTTGTGACTGTGCTGTTTGTGTGCGAGAGTGTTTGTGTGTGTATGTTTGTCCTGTGAGGGTGCTGTTTGTGTGAGTGTCGTGTATTTGTGAGGGTGCTGTTTGTGTGTGTGTTTGTGAGGGTGCTGTTAGTGTGCGGTGTGTGAGGGTGTTGTGTTTTTGTTTAAAGGTGCTGTGTGTGTTTGTGAGGGTGCGGTTAGTGTACTGTGTGTGTGTGAGCAGTATGTGTGTAGTTGTTGTATGTGTGTGTGCTGTATGTTTGGAGGGATTTGGCAGATTAGTAAATCCTTGCTGCCATGTGCCATCCCTGGTGGTCCAGTGGAGAGTGAACTCTAGCCTGCGGGGCTAGAGTTAACTCTTGCGAGATCTGAGCGTTGCCGCAGCAACGCTCAGATATCGCGAGAGGAACCTGGCGGAGCTTCTGTCTAGAGCTCCCTGGGTCCTATCCTGCCTCCCTCCATGCTGCTGTGGGCCGGTGAGGTAGATCTTTGGTCTCCCCACCGGCCCATGGAGACTTAGAGCAGAACCGGCACTCAGATAGCGCCGGCTCTGCGTGTGTGTGTGTGTGTATATATATATATATATATATGTGCGTACACACACACTCACAGACACATTCAGACACACACACACTCACACACACACACTCACACACACACACACACTCACACAGACAC